TTTCGAAACTCGAAATACTTTATAATTTCGAGAAATGTCAAGGTTTCACCGTTTCAAAAAATCCATCCCCGCTGGTTAATAATTTTTGCTACGAAAAGTCTGCAACAAATTTCTGTGAAGCATTCCATGCAAGTGGATTAACATAGCTTGCATTCTTCTCGATTTACACTATTAAACATTTCACTGAATCATGCTGACTCAAATATGTCTAACAAACAAGCATGACGAATAATTTTCCGCATTTTCAGTAACACGAAAGATAGCAATGAAATGAATACTTACGGTTACACTTCGCATACCATAGACGCGTAAAACAAAGTGAAGGGGCCGATCAGAGAAAAAAGAAGGAAGAGAGACGAAAAAAAGAACGATGGCAAAACGTGAACTGCTTCTGAAGTAAAGAACAGAGAAGACTTCGTGAACGGTACATTCGTTACCTTACGGAAAAATGTTCGTAAACCAATTTTTGCTAACAACGTATAAATCTTATAAAACGATGCTTCTGTAACGTGGTATTGCCCCAACACGATTCAAAAATTAAAGAAATTCTTGTATAAAACAACTCATAGCAGTATCATTCGATACTTCTTGTTTGCTCCAAAATGTATGTCCCTTTAATACGCAAAATTGAACGAAGGACGAATTTCATTTCTCTACGCTATTCCATTTGGAATTTCTCTTAATAATATTGCATATGTTTTCCTCTTAGCTATTCTAAAATAATATGAAGAAAAAATATATATAGCTTTGTTAACTTTTTGAAGTTAATACAGTCCTGTCTTTTGTACCAAGTCGTCACTTTATGGAACGAGAATTCACGTAAGGCACCGATACTGGCTATTCTAAGTTCCGATATGCAACCACATCCACACAGACACAGTATTTACCGTGCAGAACTCAGGAGTTGCACTGTAGACAGTAGAAATGCAGGCCCGACTGGCCATAGTATAATAGGTCCACTTTCTCCAACACAATCGTCAGGATAGGTCACATACCACTTTTTCCGGACTCGGCTACTCTATTATATGAGAAATACAACTACTGTGCATACCACGGAAACTTGCACATGAAAGAAACGAAGGTCCGATGGGTCACAGCAAAATAAACTTACCTTCTCGAACAGAATCATAAGGATAGGTCACGAGCCACTTTTTCAGAACCTAACTACTCTATTATACCAGAAATACAACTTATCGTGCATACTTCAGGAACTTGCACATGGAAGAAGCAAAGATTTAATTGCTCGCAACGAAATAAATCCACTTTTCCGAATAGAATCATAAAGATAGGTCACAACTGTTGCAGAATCTAGCTGCTTTATTATACGAGAGTTACAATTACCGTGCATAATTCAGAAAATATATGGAAGAATATAAGATTGAATCATAACGTAATAGGTTATTTTTTCAGGACTAGTCTATAATATTATGCGGAAGATACATTACTATGCATAAGTTAGAAATTTGCATATAGAAAGAAAGCAAGTTTCAATAGATTCATCTTTTCTGTCATAGTTATCGTGATAGATCACGCGTCAGTAGTTATAAATTTTTCAAAATCTAACTACTGTCTTACATAAGGACACAGTATGTACTGTGCACAGTTAAAAAATTTCCAAATGAGAGGAATGCAGAGTTAATTGGTTCAGTAGTATCAGACCTACTTTCCTTAACATAATCGTAAAGATAGGTCACACCACATCTTTTCAAAATTTAAATACCCTTCTACACCATGAAATACGTGTACTGTGCAAAGCTCATGTGTTTGCACATGTAAGGAATGCAGATCTGATTGGCCACAGTGTAATAGGTCCACCTTCTCAAACACAATGGTAAAGGTAGGTCACGTGTCATTTTTTCAGCAGATACTTGTAATTTATTACGCCATTTTTGTGAAACTCGACTACTGCATGATGCAAAGGAAACAGATACTGTGCATAGCTGAAGAATTTGCACGCAGAAGAAATGCAAGTCTGATTAGTCATAGTATAATAGGTTCACCGGTCTAACATAATCATAGAGACAGGTCTCACGCCATTTTTTCGAGACTTAATTATCGTGCTATACGAGACCTACGTATGAATCCATCATTTGCCAAATCGATCCATTGCAAACACGAAGAATAGACATTTATTTTAGACCTAGAACGTGAATCATCGATCAAATGCTTTGGTACTGAAATTTTAAAAAATCCAGAAAGTAGAATTAATCACTTCACTGGACTGTGAATGGACCGTATGCCATGTATAATTTAGAATTTTGCACATGGAAGAACTGCAAGTCTGATTGGTCACGTTGTAATAAATAGGTTCAACCCTAACTCGACCATAGAGATAGGTCTCGCGCCATTTTTCCGGGAAATACCTGCAGTTTATTTAAATTACCCAACGTTGGGAGGAATCGTTGCCGCGGTACAATGTATAATTCGGGGAAAAATGGAAAAATAGAAAGGGAGGAAAAAGCTTGGCATGGAACACGAATATGATAGCTGACGAAACGAGAGAACATTTCAGAGTTTTGCATCGTTATATCGTTGAAAAAGGAACGAAAATCTCGAGGCTGCTGGCTCTGGCAACAGTATGAAAGGTTACACTCTACTTGACGATATGAACTGGAAATCCAGGAAGGAATGCATATCAAGGCCGATCTCTCAAGCCACCCGCGGCTCTCTCTCATTACCGTTCAGTAAATCCGAAGTTAATTAGAGCTCAAGCGGAAAGCCGTTTCGTTCTGTACGAACTAATCGGGTTCGAAGGAAAAACGAATACACAAAGTTTTACCACGATTCCTTGAATCGTGGGTCGAAGACGAGAGCGGGTTCCTCCGGAACGAAATTTACGATACACGTGAATTTATGTTTGTCAGAGGGAAGCAGATGGACGTACAAAATGCTACATACCTATAACGCTAAGGTAACAGTTTCTTCTCTCCGTGGGAAGAAGATGATATATTACTTTTCACATTTTTGGTACTTTCGCATTTCTGTTCCTTGTCTGCTGAGGAATTTCACGTAGGATTGAATTGAAAGAAGAGCTGCAAATTTGTTACAGTCAGACTGTGTTATCGTGATTGAACGATGGTAATTGCGGGTAGTGATTGCAATAAGAGCACACTGAAACGTATAATTAAGAATCTACGGGAAAAAAATTAATATAGGAATGGATAGTTATGCAGACATGAAATAATAATAAAATGTATAGCAGCAGTAAGGAATAATAATGGCAATAATTAAATACACAGTTAATTTAGTTGAAATAGAAATAATAAGGTACAAAATGTGTAACAAAAAGTATTAAGGTAGAAGCATGTTGAAATGTACAATAATATACATATGTAACAATGAGGTATATTGTAATAACAGAGAATAATAGTTACACAGTAAAACAGGATGAAATAAAAATATATAATAATGTAGAATACGTATAATAAAAAATATTTAGTTAAAAAAATGTAATAAAGATTTATAATGATATACATATGAAATAGTAGCAAGGTAGACAGTAATGAAAATAAACATAAAATATACAAATAAGTAGGTTAAAATAGAAATGTATAATGAGATATGAAACGTATAATGAAACAAAAAATATGTAGACATAAAGAAATGAAAAGTTTTTTAATCTATAGGCTGAAAAAAATATATGACATTATCGAACTGAGATAATTATTAACTTTTTATGTACGAAAAATATGGAGATGGAGATGGAATTAATTGGTTCCATGTCTGGGTGATTCGACTGTTTGGGTCTTTTTATGGATGTAAATCGAGAAAAGGGAAAATCAGAAGAGAAAGAAGCAGCGTGAAAGCGGTGTTATTTATGCAAAGATATGATGCTCGCCATTCGACGAAAATTTCACGTATTGATTTACGTCAGACAGCTGAATTTTTATATATCAGTATTTTTTCCGCAAATATTTCTTCCTTAATTTTTATTAATTTCTTTTTTCACGTATCCTTCACTGTATAAGATCTTCATAAAGAATCGTATAATTTTATAAAAATTAAAAAATATTGTAATTTTGTGTACTAGTCACATTTCGTATTAATTTAGTTGATCAATTTTCTAAATTATCTGTGAATAAACTATTAAAAAATATTTGTTAATGATCGTTTGTTGGAACGAAATATTTGTTTCTCTCGTTGAAGTATGTTTACGCGTAGGATTGCGAAAGAAAATAGCGAAGAAAAAACAAAAAGGCTATATATTTTTATATAACTAGGTGAAAACCATATAAGATTTTATTTAGAACAAAAATGCAATGCATACTCCAGCTGGATATTATGAAACGAGAAGGCTTCAAGGACAGAAAGCTTACTGTACCATTTACCTTTCTTCTTTGCCATATTTTTCCAGTTGCGATAGAATAAGGATTACTGTCCATTCTAAATATGCCATATACTTTCTGTAACATTTTTATTTTCATTACCATAGCCCATCATTAATCTTAAAATGAATAATAATATTTAATCTTGAACATTTAAAATAAATAATAACACTTAATCTGAAATATTTTATATTTAACCTATCTTTAACGATAATTTAAAAATAGTTAACAATACCCAATCTAAACTATTGGTAACAATTTATAATACAATTTTCAAGCCATTGTTGATAATAATACTTAATCTAAAATATTTGTAACATAATCTATAATATTAATTTTCATTAATAATCTATAATCTATAATATTATATACTATAATATTATATTTCGTATTAATTCATATAAATAATTAATAAATAATTTTTATATATTTCTAAAATACAATACCTAACTCGACTCACCTCCTTCTTCAATTGGAACGTTATTTATTCGAACAATACTCGGCGCATTAAATATAAATATTTGACACCGACGAAGCACCTGCACCCTTCATCAATGCTCCCCCATGTAATCGATACTTTCACTTGATGAATTTCACATTAACGGAATTCTACTCTAATATTGATCGACAGCTACAAACGAACGTCACTCACCTTGCAATTAATTTGCATTGTAGGAAGTCAGTTCAGCGACAACACACCTCCCGTGATGTGGATAGATCGAAATTTGGTGCTTCTGGATTCAGAGCCCGTAGGAAGCGTGGTGACTAGGGCCCGTGCCGAGGACAATGAACAGGATCAGCTAACCTATGGCCTGGAACCTCTTGGGCACAACTACAACGGAAACGACAGTCCGCAGCCCTCGCTCCCTTTCTTCATCAACAATAGCACTGGCATTATCTACGTTAATGAAACGCTCAAAGGCAAAGTGAGTGTCGCTTTTAATCCACCTTAATTATTTTCCCCTTCAAACGACCGTTGTTCTATATCTTCTGCCTTTTTATATCCGAATGCTCTTTTCTTCTCTCAAGTAAATCTTACTTAATTCTTGGATAACCCTCACCACGGCTGGTTCCTTGTGTCTTACTGTCCCGGATGAGAATTTGCTGATTTTAATTAGAGCCGAGGACTATAATGAGAAATTATGAGATAAAGAATATCAAATTGGAGAAAATTTGAATTTTGAACAATTTTTCTTCTATTCGTTTTTTTTTTAATACCGTGAGTACTGCTTTTATCAAATACCTCTATAAAAGTTTTATTGAATTAGCAAATTAACTATTTAGGAAGTTGAATTTTGATTCTAATATATTACTTTGTATAATGAATGTGGATAATGCAGTAGAGAGTACTGTAATAGAAATTATAAAATAAGTATGAAATTTTAAGGAATTTTAATTTTGAATATTGAACGTGGACAAATTTTTTTCATACTATGAGTAGTGTTTTCCCCAATTACTGTATTACAAATTCTGTTACTATAATAAATTAGGAAATTATCCATTTGGAAGTCTAAGTTTTGATTTTGAATATTGTGATTTTTGATTGTTTTAGATTTTGTTATGTCTAAATAAATTATTTCCTATTATTTTGAAATTTGTAATAAAAAAAAGAAAGAATTAAAGCACGTACGGGAATTACAAATAAATATTTGACAAATTTGAGAATATATTCCTTTTCAAGTACTATATTTTCAATTTTCGTCCCCTTTCTTAATAATATAATGGTCTCTGACTCATTTAATGACATATTCTTGCATCCACTGCATAAATATCATTCTCATTCGAATACTTTTTCTAAAGATGAAGGATAAGAAACTTCCTACAGTATACGTATTTATCAGAAGACATTAAAGTCTTGAAAAGCTATGATTAACCGTCAGTGTTCTATTACCAGATTACAGTATTGTGAAGAAATTTTCAAACATTCTATATAATTTATTTCTGATAAAGTTTTATGATTTCCAATAACTTATATAAATTATTTCCAATATCTCCAAACTATATTAATAATAGTAATTACAATCAAATACTAATCAAAATAATCATATTATCCAGAAATGCAAAACGACATGAAACTTACATAAGAGAGGAAAGGCTACATTTTTTGGCGGAAACTTTAATTTTTGAATCTCACTAGAATAATACATATTATAATATTTTAATATTTTTGTAAAAATATCTAATTAACGATATCATATTACCTACCATCAAATTTACTATTATGTTCCATTTTATTCGAATTTATTTATATTCTACATTCAATTATCATAAAATGTTATTACACATATTTTTCTTCATTTTACTAGCCCAAAGGAGCTCTGTTATTTATATAGAAGATTATATGTCTTTTGCAATGGTTAATATCAGATAATTTCTTTTTGGAATTATTATACATTATTTGTTACAAAGTATATAATTGATGATCCACTTAATACTGACATAAAAACTGTTGAAACGTGCATTTTTTCTACTAAATATTGCATTCCATTCTTATGATACTAATTTCTCGGAATCGGATGAAAGTACCTTTAGCCGATAGAAGATTAACGTATCCCGTGTTTCGCTCGTATAGTTACGAGAGACGAAATTTCTTGGAATTAGGTGAAAGTAGTTCCAGACGATACAAAATTTATTTTAGCTCAGTCAGAATATTCTAACGATATAAATCTAAGAAAAATACTGAAAATTCTCGAAAAATAATTATTAATTCTATATAATTAAATATCTTCGAATAATACAATTTTTCGACCCCATTACAACGTTTTATCAAGATCCTTAATTCTTTTTGTTGCAAAGTAGAACATATTGTAGCAATAATAATATTTTCACCTACCTAGTCGGTATACGTATATCTATCCGTTCCAAAAGAGACGAGATAGCTCGTTTAATTGGTAGCTCAGACGAAATGCAAGTAAACTACCGCTCGTGCAAGGTTGTATGAACCTTATTAAAGTATTCAGGTTATACACATTTTAATAATCAAATAAATAACAGTATCTTGGCTGAACGGTTGCGTCAGGTGTTGCTCCATCACGAGAACGCATTTTCTCCAACTACATTTACGTTAACGAATTTTTAGCTGTAAAGAAAATTGTTCTGGTGCTCTACTTTGTCCTTAAAATCTCAGTTTTCGTGATCTTTTCCTTGGATAAATTTTTCTAAATTATCGATTCAGAAAAATTAATTAATTATTGAAATTATTGTATTTTCTAAATTATTTTGGATACATTTTCTTTTTAAATAAAAATTTTTAAATATTAATATCGAGAAATTTTTTAGTAAAAACTTAAATAAAAAATTTAGAAATGACTATGGTGAGTTTAGTACTAATTTTAATCTATGTTTCTTAGAAGCTAATAAAATAATCGTTACTTCGTTTCTTTACTTTTACCAGTAAGCGTATAATATATACATACTTATTTAGAATTTCTTGTAAATCTAGAAATGTTCTTTTATTGTACAAATATTTTTTTTCTCCATTATGCTGTTCAATTTAGGCTATTAATATTCTATGAATAAAGATGACGATTTTCAGCTACATCTACTTTCATAAATCTATTAATAATAATACTCGATAATTTCATCTAGGAACCACATTACCTCAACAGCATATCATGTAAAGGAAATTATAGATTGCTATTTATAAATATTTAATTTATTTATAGAATATACATTACCATTTATTAATATTTAAATTATTTATGAATTATAGATATTTAATTTATAAATATTTGGTTCGCTCTTTCCATGTGGCCTATACTTTAATTCTAGAACTACTACACCGATCATTGTCATAGAATTAACATCACAAAAGTATCGAGTACCTACAAATTGTCCACATAATATAAAAATATATATAAAGTACTAGCCTTCTACTATGCAATGCTCAAAATCATATAAATACAAACTTCCTTACAAAATAAAACTTCATCGCATCAAATAAATCTTCCACATACGAAACCCGAAACATCCACGAATCCCTATATTCGTACCTACGAACATAATCATTTCAAACTTACCAACATCAGTCCCCTGACCTCTCCACGGATTACGAATATTTCAGTATCTCGCTATGCACGCAACGTAACACCATGGTGCATCTAAGTGAACGACATCTAGTCGTTAGACGAGGCTAAAGCACGCGGGTATATATACGGTCATCTTTTTTCCCCTGTTCACGAAGATGAGAACGTAACACGAGCTGCATATGGTCGACGTTCAGGGATTGAACGACGTTTCTTGCTTCTTCTTTCCAGGGAGGGCAGAACCTGTTCCTTTACGTGACCGTCTCCGATGGTCAGCTCACGACAAAGACCGAGGTCTACGTCACCATCAAGAACACCTCGGCTCCCAATGGAGGACACACCAGGTAGGTTGAGGACAAAATTGGCTGATCGGTGAACCGATGACCATGCCGATCTCTCGTTTCCTCTGTCCGCAGAGGTGACGTAACAGAGTCTTTTCGCCCTGTTACCGGGTATTGTTACCTTATTTTTTCATTGCCAGATGAGTTTCGTGTCGTCGATTGCGCGAGGTTGTTCTATGGTTCCTCAAAGGGTTTCAGAGGGACGTTTGCGTTGGCGGTGAGACGTTCGCGAGCCGTTTCCTCGTAGTCGATGTTCGCCGTTTCCTTTTTACAACACTGCTCGATACCGTGAATTACGCACTTGCCTTTTTACGACCGGTTCTGTAAAGTATCGGACGTTTCGATTCAAGAGCTCGGATTATTTTATTTGCTTGGTTGCACGGCTGTTCGGGGAACTCGAGAATGGCCGGATGGATCGTTTTGATGGATTAGTGAAGGATTTGTATAGATTATGGAGGAATATCGTTTTCTACAGGCGTGAAATTGGTGTTGTTTGTTTTGAGTGGGTAACTTTGGTGAAGGTGGGAGTAGAGTGGAATGGAATTTTGTGGGAAGCGGCTCTGTAGTCGTGTAATGTGTTATGAAGATGTTGGCAGAGATTTTTAATTGTTTCTCCTGTTTTCTTTCTTTCTTTCTCTTTTTTTTTTTAAGGAAGAAACGTGGTGAAGAATTTGATGATTTGTTTCAATGAAATTCATTAAAATTTGATTTTATTGATAACAAATGAAAAAGATGAATAAAAATGTAATGATTTCAGAATTGGAATAGTTGTTACAAAAGATTTTAATTGCTTATTTTAGCGAGAAATATACTGGAGAATTTAATGGTTATTTTCAGTAAAATTTATTAAAATTTATTTCTATAATAAGGTAAAGAATAAAGGGGATGAATAAAAATTTCGTGGTTTTAAAATTAAAGCGAGATGAATATTTGAAATTTAATTACAACGGATAAATGAATTCAAGATTTATTCCAGTATTTGGTTGGTTAATTAATTAAAATTCACATTTAATGAAAATATTTTGATATAATAAATAATATGTTATAAATATAGGTATAAGTAAACATAAATATAAATATCGAGAAAGATGCAAATATAAGTAAATCAAATAGTGTTTACAAGGTAATATTAAGCCCGAAATTAACAACTCCATTCTTCCAGCCAATGGTCGTTTATAATGGCATCGTATAAATTACCGACGATTACTATTATAGCCAGTAAACTAATATCGATGATCGACAAATTGGAATAGCGATTAAAATTAGAGTGTAAATTCGACGTTGAGATTTGAATTGTTAATGTCTATTGATAGTCTATCTATATAGTCGATAAAATGAAAATTATATAAGGTATAAGTAAAGATTAGAAATTATGTAACAATTTTAATAAAATAAAATAGAATGGAATAAGTTCGTTAATATTATTAACCATTTTAATAGTCTTTTTCAAAATACTTTTCTTTTTTAATATATTTTTTTATATTTATAAACTTAGATCGCTATTACTATATTAGAGGTACGTGTCAAAGGTTACAATGTTCAGTACGAATTTTAATCTATAATATCCATTAGGTAATTTCTATAGATTTTACTTACCTGAAAACGAATCCTTATTCGAAATTAATCTATCACCCCCAGTTTCATCTATTCTTTGAAAAATGATATCAATTACCAGGTCTCACCACTTCCAATGAACGTCTTAGTGGTACCCTTTTATTCCAAAGATACTCCGGTCCAGCACGGAACAAATGCTATTTACACTATATCAGTTGTCTTATAAAAGGGAATTCGGATCGGTATACTAAATTTTAATACTCTACTTCTGCAACACTAACATTTTTCATTTAAAAAGACTCTAATGACACTAAGTTCCCATATAAATTGGGATTGACGAAAAATATGGAAAACACGAACAAGTTGAGTCACTGGGAACCTGGATACTCTCCAGGACAATTCGAGGGTCCAGCGAGGCCTAGTAGCCGGACGAACGCTTCGTGCCCATCACATGAGGGAGAAACCAATGAAGGAATTATCCCACGAGGACTGACTGTAGACACGTCATGAGTATTAGAGTACAGGACTCATACCATGGTCGTGTATGCGAACAGACACACAGGATGACCAAGGCCAACAAACCCTCGCATTCACACCGATAACATCAGCATCCCGACGACGTCACAACGAACTGATGCGTGATCCAAATAGGCAGTGATTTGTCTTGTGTTTTAGACCCGAGTCCAGAGAATGATCTACGATTCTTTAGACCGATCGCGAAAACAATTACGTTTCCTTTAATAAGTGGAGGGATACGAAATTTAAATAAGTTAAAATTAAGATGAATGCATTCCACGATGTCCATCAATGTCCAACGATGAAGTATCTAATTATAAACTAAAATGAAATATAAGAGAAAAGAAACAAATTAGAAATCAGTACGAAATAAATAAGAAAAAGAATATGAAATTAATGGGAAAAACAAGAAAAATGGTAATAGAGACATTAGGGACTACGAAACCAAAGATCAGTCCAACGATCGTTCAAAAATCGATCAATACTTAGAAAAAGAAAGAAAAATATATACATACACATAGATTATATATAAGAAAAATATATATACATAAATACATAATATATAGTACTGGCCACTGACCCTTGACCGTTGGTCATCCTCTTGGCACCAGTAACCATGTCTAGAGAGGAACATCCGTCCAGCCCTAAGAGAAACCTGCAAAAGAGCTCTTGAATAATCGCTCGATCTATATATTATCTACGATCGACCAAAGATCGACGGAAAGTCACAGTTGTTGCCGATTCATCAATGATTACGTGTCTCCTATAATAATAAAGAATTTATTGATTTTTTTTTGTTTAAATTATAAATTCATGCTCCGAGTAATTTGTTATTCACAATTTTAATTTGTTACCAGTAATAAATTTTATAATTTATACATTTTTTATAAACTATAACTGCATTAGCACTTTCATAGGATAAATTTCCAAGATACGTATATATATGTCAAAGTATTCTTATTTCCTCTGTATTTTTGACTGAAATGAAGTGACAGAGCAGTTTACATATTCGTGTTCAAGAAAGTAAACCGTACAAGAACCTAATGTATATTATAGATTAGAGAAAAAGTTGAAATTTGTTAAATAATGTTAGTAAAGTGAAAGAGTCGATGTTAAAAATGAAAAGATTACCTCCTCAAACGTAACTGCTGTCGAGCGACATCAGATAGTACAAGTTGATATCGAAGAACTATCGAAAGCTATTATAGTTTACGTGTCGAGAACTGTATAGTAGCAGGAATTGATGTCGAAATTCGCTAAATTACAGTAATATCTGCCTGGTACTGTTTCTCCTCCTAAAGATCCCAATTTTTTAATGAAATAAATATCGAATTAAATAGTATCGTCTATTTATTCAATTTACAATTCTGTTTTGTAAGATACAATTATTTATCTAAGCAATTTTAATTTTATGTAAGGAAATACGTACGGAAGATAGTTCAAGTTATGAAATAATACAAGAGATTTTGTTTTGAAGATTAAGATTTTTAAAGAATAAATGAAATTTATGCAGATTGTTATTTGCAATTCTTCCAATTACTGGCTGGAAATTTTCCAATTATCTTTACAGTTATATTTGATATTGTCTTAGATATTCAGTATGTAATAGTATCTAATCATTTTACCTAATCATAGTATCTAATCAGTATAAAATAAAAAAGGATATAAATTATAAAATAACTTAATATAATATACAATAATACTCCATGAAATACGTTTAACTAGTTCTATTTTCGCTCTACAAACATTGGCATAATCTGCCTGGAATTAACCAGAGCAATTATAAAATAAGAGGTGATGATATGTCACGTAGAACAATTCTTTTTCGAAATTCCTCGCGTTTCCATGTTGCTAATAAATTGACCCTCTGTCTCAATTGGCAGTTTTTATTTTTATTCCAAAAACAACAGCATAAGCTTCAAATTGATGACTACAATTATAAAAGAGGAGACAATATTAATTATGTAAATGTCTAGTATAATATTCAATAATCCTCCACGAAAGACTCCATATTATTAACAAACTCTGCAATAGATAGGTCGAATTTTTCTTCTGAAAGTCATAGCACAAAATCAACTCATAATTCAAGAAAATATCCACTTTCTTACTTTGCTGATTGATATCTTCAGAAGAGCTTTCCAATCTCCCACGTTTGCTCTAGAACTAATCAAACCAGTTATCAAATAAAACACAATATTAATTAAGAAATATCTTGATAAAATATGTAATCCTTCACCCACGATTAAAAAGCTAAAATTACTTCCAAGCCAATCTGATAGGTTGTATACCCATACAACGATCTCCCAAAATCCTCAGCATTTACACCTTACCAACAAATTCCAGGATCCTTAATCTCCATCCTCCCTCTGAGACCACCGCCACAATCCTCCTGAAATCGGCCCCGCGTTCGGCGAAGCAGAGAATTCATCGGATCCGACGAATCAGCGGGACCTAGCCAACCTGCTAGAAAGTTTCGTCGATAAATCACGAGGAACGGTGCGTGACCTTTCCGGGGGGACTCTTGTTGGCCCGTTCCATTATTCATGCTCCAGTTCGTTGACGATACCCCCGAATCGGCTCGGAACGTTTCGATGACCGAACGTAGCTCAACTCTGGCCCGATTTTTCCTCGACAGGAGCCCGTTTCCGGGTCAGCACGGCTCTGCTGGCAGAATACGGCCGCCACTGTTGGGCCTGTCCAGCCTGCCCAGCTACCCCAGGCCCGCGCTGCCTCACAAACCGGTGGCTGTGCTGCCCAGCATGCCGAAAACGACCAAGCTGCAGCCCGAGGACGCGAAACAGGCCGAGGGTGATCCTGGTCCAGGCACCACCGGTGTCCCACAACAGCCCACGGAGGAGAACGAGGTCGAGGGGCCGCCACTCAGCTCGAAAATTGCACCTGCCGAGGCACCGCCTTCCCAAGATATAGCAATCACCTTGGTACCTGTCACGGCGGTCTGTGTGCTAGTCGTGGGCCTCGGCATGGGCGCCTGGTCACTGAGAAATAAATTCTGCGGCAACCGGAAGTCGAAGGAAGACACGGTATGAAGACACTGATTAGATTGGATAGATGGGGTTCTTTGGGAGCGGTACAAGTTCGGGGTGAGGCTGGTTATTTCGTATATGTCGTTTTCGCGTGGGATATCTTTGTGTACAGGTGTCCGATTTTAATTTATATGTGAAAATTACTCGGTAAGTGTGTAGGCTGCAGGTAAAATAAGAATTGAACGGTTATGAGAGGATTTGACTTAAATCAAATTTTTGTCCTGGGTTTATCGGGATAGTTCTAGGGTAATCTTCTTTCTTAAGTTTACGTAAGATATATATGGAGAGAAATGGATGTTGGAAATGGATTAGGGGTTTGTATTGCTCATTGTTTGTCTGTGAGAGAGTGGGAGGAGTAATAGATGATTGTTTCATGTGAGATCTGAACTTGATTTTCTTAGAATGAAATTGAATTGTAAGTTTATGTATATACAGGGTATTAAAAATGAAGGTTTGGAGATTTTTGAATTTACAGTAATTATTATCAATTTATAATACCGAAGAAGCTAATTGATGTTCGTTTAACATGATAAATATTAATAAGAAAGATTATCGTTAATTTCTTTCTAATTTCATTATTAACATTTAATCAGCGTTCAAATAAAATCATCGTCAAAAAAGAAATCAAAATAATTTAGAAATTTTTGAAGTAGTCGTTATCCTTTTTTCTTGTTTTATACAGAAAGAACAAGCTTCAGTTAGCGTCTCGAACATATCAGACGATCCATCGCTTGTTTTGAAAAGATGGCGAGGTCCAAAAGCGCATAACAATCGATACGAACCCTGGGAAAAAGAGAACCAAGGTGGACAGAATAAGCAAGAAGATAAATGGGAATTTCCGAGACATCGATTAAAGGTTGGTAATCACGTTAATTCAAAAACAATTTCATTCTAAATGGATCCGGAAATTATTCCATCGTAACATTATCACGAATTTCGTTTTAAGATTCACGATATCATTATTCAAATTTAATCTGTTCGTAAAACCACCCAAACTTCGCTATTTGGATTTGTATTTCCTATTTTTCTCACGCGTAAAATTGTCTTCATTTCAGCCCGATACTGTAAGTAAAACACTACAAAAGTCGAAAATATTTATAGAATAATAACAATTATTGTGCTAGTCTTTGATTAATATTTCTAAAAAATTTAGCTAAATAATTAATTTCTTTAATTTTATTTTGTAGGTCTTCAACATTCTTGGCGAGGGTTGCTTTGGTCAAGTCTGGAAATGCGAGGCCTTAGATATCGATGGGAAATCGGGAGCAACTATCGTCGCCGTGAAGACATTAAAGGAAAATGCGACAGAAAGGGAACGACTAGATCTTGCACAAGAGTTACGAGTCATGAAAAATTTGGATCCCCATCCTAACGTAGTCAGACTGTTAGGTTGCTGTACAGAACGCGAACCTATGTTCGTAATTTTAGAGTATGTAAGCGGTGGTAAGCTGCAGAGCTTTTTGAGAGCATCTAGGGAGGAAAGGAATCACGGTGGACCAGGTTTGACGTCCAGGGATTTAACTGGATTTGTTTACCAAGTACGACATTTTATTAAACATAAAATCTTCCAAAACTTAAGGATAATTTATACGTTACTTTTAATGATTGATTCAGTCTATTAATTTGGTAAGTGTTACTATTTTAAGTAACAATTTAAATAATTAGTTTTTATCATGCACTTGTTTTGTAACCTTTATTTAAAAATAATTATTATGTTGTATATTATTTTTAATATCATATATTTTATGTTTTGTATGTTTTATCCAAATATTTTGTAGGAAGTCAAAAATTGTATACACTTTTATAGAAATAATAGATACGATTTTTGTGACACCTTATATAAAAAATCTGGACATTTTCAACCCTTTCTGATCCGAATTATATTAAATGTTCTGTATTATTTTTTTTTCTTTCACTTTTAGTATAGTAGTAATATGTATTATAATATGAAATATACTGTGTACTAATGATTAGTTTATTAAAAATATACTAATATAAGAGTAACTTCGTCATTCTTGAATCTCATTAAATAATTTACAATTTAAGAAAGACCAAAAACATTTGCTGTTATATTAATTCATTTTTTTAAAATTAAATTAATCATTATTATTGTTGAATTTATATATATTTCAAAATAATGAATATTATATTCTACTGTATAGTATATAATGTGGTAGTTCATTATATTCGTCTTAAACAGTATACTATTATATTATAAAGAAAAAGAATACAGGATTTCATCTAAAAAAATTAACTTAATTTTGATATCTTTTCTACCACTATATACAGAAAAAATTATGTGTGCCACTTAACGTTCCTTTTTATAGCAAATAACTTTCGTGAGATCACTTTATCATAAAAGTGATATAAAAATATATTGACTATACGTCAAAGATATTTTATATATCGTGTATATCTCTAAAATATCTCTAAAATAAAGTGTAAATATTAATGAACATCATACTCAAGTACCATTTGAATATTACAGATTGCCAAAGGTATGGAGTATTTGGCCTCCAAAGGAATTATACATAGAGATCTAGCTGCGAGGAACATATTGATCGACGAGAATCGCGCGTGTAAAGTCGCGGATTTTGGATTCGCCCGAGACGTGGCTGCTAATCAAATATATGAGAGAAAATCCGAGGGACGGTTACCCATCAGATGGATGGCCCCAGAGAGCTTGTACGACAACATCTTTTCCGTGAAATCGGATATATGGAGTTTCGGTGTATTAATATGGGAAATCGTGACGCTAGGATCCACGCCTTATCCTGGCTTAGCTGCCGCTGAGGTACGGCCTTTCAGGAGCTTATTAATTTCAGAGTTCCTCCTCTCTAAGAACCGGGTGCAATATTTTTAATTCAAGAGAAAAGACAGATTTTCCTTTGACAAAGATTGCTTGAAGTTTCTCCTCAATCAGGATTAGGGAGAAATGTGTCGATGCACGCACGTGTAAATTGTTAAAAGAAAATGTACTAAATCGAATTAGAGTGAAGTAGTAGAGTATACTAATTTGACAACTTGTCAATGTTACGAGAAAAAAAGGAAAAAATATAGCAAATTACATAAAATTTTCAATTTAATGGATTTGTGTTTTCATAATGGAAATAAATTTATAAAGAAAGATTCCATATCCAAAAATTTGTCACGAAATTGACTTTAAAAATCCTATTGTAATTAATCAATTTCATATTAATTAATAAATATATTTAAAAATATGCAATACTTATATATTATAATATTTAATTAAATATTTATTACACGATATTGTTTTTGCAGGTAATGAGGAGAATCAAAGAGGGCTACAGACTAGACAGGCCAGAGCACTGCAAAAGAGAGCTTTATAACATTATGTATTACTGCTGGGACAAAGATCCGGCATGTAGGCCATCCTTTGGGGAACTCGTCAGTCTGACAGAGGGCCTTTTACTCGACGAAACCGATTACATCGAATTAGATAGGTTCCCGGACCACTCGTATTACAATGTACTCAATCTCAGTGGAGAAAAATTGTAAATGATGTACTTAAAATACAAGTACCATTGATCTTTGTTAATGGCTCTCAAGTAATGTAAAACATGCACAGCTTTAAAGTATACTTAATACAGAAACTTGAATTCGAATGGTTTGATCGTATCAAATGTCGATCAATGAAATTCGATCATTGAAAAATTTATTCCCGTATTTGTTTTTTCTTTTTCATCAGACACGACTGATTTGTACGAATTTGTAATAATTATAATTAAGTTTGTACTGATGAATGATGAATGTACTTAATGAACACGTATGTTTTTTTACCTGACTACATAATTCTCTGTATTCTGTATTCAGTCTGTAAATAAGCAGAATAATTTATAACTATATTTTGCTAATTGTTGACTGATTATCAGCTCATTGAGGATTTACCTGATTTGTGACAAGTTGTACATATTAATTAATGAATGAGACTTCTGAACACGTTTCACACGTCGAACAAGTTTACAAGTATTCTGAAGAGAAACGAGCGTCGT